AGTATTATAATGTAAAACAAAGCATTATCAACTAAAGAGAAGAAGTTGCACACATCTTAGCATGTCAAACACACATGCACCAACACAGAGGGGTCCACCAAGTTAGGCACGTAAACAGTTACCTATAGCATTGGCTGGCGTTTATATTATAGATATGTCACTAATTCGAAGAAGCTGGAATTCATGGTCCATTCGATCGGGTCCTAGTGTTCAAATACTCTACAAGCACATCTTGTACCCAGAAGTTTCTCAACTCGAATCTTGGCAGGCCTGTGCTTTCGAAGAGTCCCGAAATAGAACGAAACAGTTGCCACTAGTTTTCTACCTGACTAAACCTGCAACCAATCAAATCCCTGCAAACCAACACTTGAAAATAATTGAAAATGACTGAAATGCTTTGGAATAACGCGTTGTATACAGAAAATTTGTGATAATGATTTACCTTGCAGAGTTACTGACAAAAGACAATACATCACGTATGCAGTTCACCACTAGCTATCGATAAGTGATGAGTCACTAGCTCTTTTAAGTTACTAGGAGAAATTTAGACCTATGGATAAGATAGTATAAGTATCCAGAGTTTAAGTGTATGCCCGTTAGGGATATTATAATCGAGAAAGCTAACTATATTATTCCACTCCAATAGTGGATAATTAATAGTGTACAGAGCAGAATATTATGTATCATGAGAGTTCGACTTTCCTTGTGGTTGATAGTAAATATACTGGTCTACTGAAACCTGGAACCAAATAATTGCCCACTACTTTTTTCAAACTTTCGACAATTAATTACCCCTGTTAAGTGGTTGGTTACATACAATCGGCAGGAAGCAACACACCTTTGGTTTGCAGGGATTTGGTTGATTTCAAATTTAATCAAGAACTACTATCAGTTAGAGAACCACTAGACGGTCATTTCCTTCCAGCTTGGTACTCTTCACCACTTTTCCCCTAATCAGGAGTCGGACCCAAGACCTCCAAGTTGTGAGGCATGCTCGTCGACCATTCAATCAGTGGAACGCAATCCAGCGACCTATGAATTCCAAAATCCACCAGACTTGGTGGACTCCACTGTTCACGAATTCTCACTAGACCTCCAGGAACTTTATCTAGTGGGTAGTCACTACTAGTGAACAGTAGATCAATTTCCAAGCCTCAGTTTGCACAGTGTGTGTGTGTGCTTCTGAAGATCCCCAAAGTAGGATGAAACAGCTGTTCGGTACTCCGTGGTTTTCATCAGTTCTCTAATTGTTTTTCGTCTGTGGTTAGTTTAAACAACGATCAACCATTTCATTTGTTTCGAATCTAGCTGACTATCGATATAAGCAGGTTAATGTGGCGGCTTAGTGTGCTGATAACCACTTCAATACATTTCACATTACTAGCCTTTATCTTAATTAACTTATTGCCTAGACCTTTGTTCAGATTCACATAATAAATGATGTCATAATCGGATGGGTGTACATGACAAAAAAAATAGCAGTCTTACGCATTATTTATACTTTAAGATAAACTTTGTCTGCACGTATAACACCACTTTATAAGATAACATAACAGATGAACAAACAAACTAACAAGCAAAACTTACATTTCAAAGAAGAATATTACCTATAATGTTAATATTTTAATAGTTCTTTGTTCTTAGGATTATCATCTCTACTTTGTACACACACACACACGTGCGGACAAACACATTTACACGAAAACCTTTCATATCATTGCCCTAATTACAATCAGACATGTACGTAGAAAACTCTTTCAACCAGGCATACTTCATGTCTGTAAGGTAAGAGACCTTGAATTCCGCATTTATTTGGAATAGTACACAGTGACACAGTTCTGTTAACTGGATATTTTTTTGAGCGCAATTTATCGCTCATAATTTATACCACGAGATGCATCTCATTGTGTGCTATATATGAAGTAAACTTATCTCATATGAATTGCATATATTGCTTTGGTGACACAAAAGTAGAATGCCATCCAGCCCACACAGAGTTCCACTCCACGTATTACCATTCACTCCTCAGTCTCACCCAGTTTACAAGTCGATGATAAGGAAGGCTTCGTGTGCTCTTGGAAGTGTGTGGGTGGTTGCTACTTCCCGGCTGCCCACACCGTGGAAGTTGAGTGATTCTTCAGGTACCTGAAACAGAAAGAGGGTTAGTATTGCGTGACCACAGAGCCCAGAAGACAACTACTTCAGACCGGTCACACACAGCCTGTATGAACGGGTTTCTGGGATTGGTTCTGTATTAATAAACTCACCACCGGTTACGGACCACCGTAGGGTACGTCGGGATGTACAATTTTCGTGATCGACGTTTTCTAACCCCTCTCTCCGGAGTGGAGATTCTTACACTATGCTGGTAACTGCTTTTAGTCTAATCGCTATCCTAACAACCTTCTTGGCATGGTAGGACCTGCAGGAACATTGGTTGCAACCAGTGCAGTTTGTTGGGTCATCGCGATATGCTAGCCCGACCACCACGTTGAGGTAGCAGCTATCGGTAAGGAAGTCGATAGTAAACTCAGAAAAACAGAGAAGGTTAGGAGTATGAGGGTAGAAACCGCGTCCGTAAAGGAAACACAGCACCACTGCTACTACTGAAGCTTCAAAGCGCTTTATGTTTGACTCGGAAAGCAAGGAGTGAAAAGTAAATACATATGTATGGAATTATATTCAACCACAGTGATGAAATCGAACTCCTACGCTAAGCATACCTTTAAGTTTGTATTGATGTTTTCGACTAGCAGTGTAGAATGGAGGTCATATGGAGCTTTGAATGAATGAACAGGTGCTGAAACTACATATCCCGGTAGAGACTTCCACTGGTGAGAAATTCTATACGGGAAACCAATACCCCTTTTTATGTGACAAGAGAGAAATTACTCGCCACTGCATTTGATGAAAGAATGAACTTACATACCAGATGTATGTAAAAGTGACGAAGAAATAGTTGAATTCTTTTGTAGAAAATAAAAAGGATCTCGTTGTGGTTACATGTTGTTCTCAAAACTTGACAGTTTTCGACCATAGATAGAATGGGTGTATACTTTCGGCGAGTCACCAGTTATGATGCAAGGCGACTGTGCTCATCAGTAAGCTTTCTATAGGTTTTTTTTATAGCTGATGCAAATTCATGACTAAATCTGTCGAACAGCCTCACAAATCCAACAAAAAAACTCAAAATTATTTCGTTTAGAAAATCAAAGGAATATATCACAAAGATCTTCTGCTCTATATGACTTATCGGTTGAATATAGGGATACCCACTACAGATCTTAAAGAACTACTTTTGAGATGTACATTGAATGTACAGTTTACTTTCAATGAAACAATCTACAGGCAGAAGGATGGTATTGCGATGGGTTCTCCCTTGGGTCCTCTCCTTGCAGACGTTTTTATGTCCAGTCTAGAAAATGGTTCCCTGAAGCCTATGATCCAAAGCTTTCAAATATATAAAAGGTATGTAGATGACACCTTTATTATTTGTAATATTGATTGTAACCTGAATAATATATTAAGTGTATTTAATGAGTGCCATCCTGCGATAAAATTCACACTCGAAATGGAGAACGAGTCTAGCATTCATTTCCTCGATGTGAACTTATCAAGAAGGACCGATGGAACTCTGAAGAGATCGATTTATCGTAGGCTGTTATGGAATGGTCAACTGACAAATTTCTATAGCTGGGTACCTATTGGTCGAAAACGAAACCTGGTCCGGTCGCTTGCCACTCGTATTCGGCGCATATGTAGCACTGATACTGTGGAAGATGAGTTATACACTTTGAGGAAAATCCTAATGGAAAATGGATTTCCACCACGTTTTATAGATAAGAATATACATTCAAAGCCTACAAAACGTGACTTATCAACCGCTCCCAAGAAAATACTTTACATGAGCTTAGAATTCAAAGGGGACTTAGCTTCCGATATCATGAAACGAAGGATATCACAGTCCCTGAAAAGAACATTCCCTGCTGCCTCTCTGAGAATAGCTTTTACTAGCCGACCATTATTGTTCAATAACCTGAAGGACAAGATCCCAATGTTGACCAACTCTATGTGCGTTTATCAATTCACCTGCTCTTGTGGAGCTAGGTATATCGGTCGTTCGACTCGAGTTTTGTCCAAGAGGGTGCAAGAACATTATCCTGCATGGCTACGAAAAGGTGGAAGTGGAGCAATAAGAAGCGCGATCATAGAACATCTGGTCGAAAATGATCACCCTATCTCTATAGCCTCCGCCTTTAAAGTCATCTACAAGGCAAAGAGCAATCTACCTAAATCCCTACGTACCCGACTCATCTGTATTGCTGAAGCTTTGGCTATCGAAACAGAAAAGCCAGATCTCTGTGTACAGAAAAAGTTCGTTCAACCCCTCCAACTTTCATGGTCTTAATCCCTCTATGCTAAAATATGATAATCCCCAATCATATTTTAGCTCTACCAATTTTTCATTTTGTCTATTCAATTTGTATACTCTTCCTTATTAAGTCAATTGTTATTATTACTATTCTCACTTTGAACTGTCCCCGGTATTATTTCACTTGTTCCACTTGTCATTCTAAATCAATTCTTTTTTACAACGATAAATTCTATGCTATTAAATTTCACACAATATTACGTAACGTTTTTGTTTTATTCGATTTGCCTACTAATCCTATAATTGCACATCCTTTTTCAAGTTCTATCCCTCCTATGAATTATTCTATATATGACATTAATCTGCTTTGCCACTTGACATTTAACTACGATTATAATCACAAACATTTTAGTTTTAATTGAACTTCATATGATTATTATTATTATTTTATGCATTCACACCTAAGATTCAATTCCCTCACCGGATATAACTTCTGATAAAGCCATATATATACGACTGTACAGCTTGATGATAAATTCGTTGAAAAGAGTCTCTTCGCTGAATCACTTGTTTTGATTTTCTAAATGTTACAATGGGAATTTTCCATGAGTTAAAAAATCAAACTTACCACGGTTTTGTCATGTCCATCATCAGGATGACACCGTGTGCACCTTTGTAGACATTAATGAAACTGGCATCTAGACATGGCTCAATTTTCGCCTGAAAGACAAAGTAATTCCATGAAAACAAGTGAAAAGAATGCATGATTTGTACACATATATGTGTATATATAAGACTCGGCTGACTGATTGACTTGTTGGGGTACTTGGAACTGATACAGCGTTAGTGTTGCGTGACCACGGAGTCCGATAAACAACTACTTGAAAATGGCTTGTTTGAAGTGGTTCTCAGAATTGTTCCCGTATTAAAATCTTACTGCCGGCTACGGACATCAGCAAGGTACGTCGAGATTTGTAATTTTTGGAGTCCATATTTGCTAGTCAAACTTCCCCAGATCGTAGAAACAGCTTAGCTGGCTTTCTCATCATCTGAGGGAAACGCCCTACTGCTGCTACATTCCTATTCGCCAAACGTACGACTTCTCCCTCGGAACTATCAACAGAGTGTAAGCAACTTACACTATGATGCTAACTACTTTTACTTTAATCACTATCCAAACAGCTTTTTTGACAGGGTGAGACCTGCAGGAACATTAGTTCCACCCAGTGTAAATCGTTGGGTCATTCCGATATGTAAGCCGGACCACGACGTCAGTAGTTATTAGCCGGGTACGAATTGGTGGTTGCTGGGTTGAAACTAATGTACACAACAACTTTTTAGTTCTGATTAAAATCTAAAAATAAAGTAATATGTCCAGTACACTGAAGAAGACGAAACTCTAGTGAGCACACGGAATGCATTGTTCATTGTAGAGAAAGAGTTTATAGAAAGACTGAACGACAGTTACTTTGTTGTCATATTTGCGGTCAAAAAGAGAGTAAAGACCAGTCATTTTTTTTCAGTTGGAATTATATTTCACTGATAAATGGAATCTCCTGTCGATTGTTGACAAAAAGGGAGTTATATGACATCAGACAGTTTGTTAGTTCACTGTTTCACTTATCTAAGAAGTTATGTCTATCTTCATTGAGAAAATCATGGGACAGATACACTTAATCCTTTAAAATTTGCATAGCTGAGGTCTGTAAAAGTGCAGATATTGCGTAGTAGTAGAAAAACCTCAGACTTTTTTCTTATTTGAGTTCTTAGTAGAACGTAGGGCCACAAGCTTGAGGTTTAGAGTTCCAGTTCCGTCTTCACCCAGATCACTACAGGCTAGGTGAGGTTAAGAAGTCCCTCGACTTGGAATTGAATTCGTACCACATGCGTGGTTGGTTAGCATTTTACCATTGAGCTACACACCTATATCGTAACTACTGTCCATCACATCTATCAGAAACTAATCTCGTTAAACTTGATGAAATCCTTCCCTTTAAATGATATGTACCTTAACAAAAGGATGTAGTCTACCAAGCAGATTTTGAGAACAGGTATTTTGCTAAATCCATGGTATCGCGACAGCACTATACAGAGAATAAACAGAACGTGAAGATCATGAGCTATTAGATTTCAGTTACAGTTGGATGGCAGTCCTGATCGTTTACGTGGCAGCGCATATACGCTGCTGATGTACCACAAACTAGAGTAAAACAGTTATGCTCCTTGATTTTCAATAGTCCCCTAGTTAACCTTTCGTTTATCACAAAATTTGTCTTCAGAATAAAACCACCTTAACTGTTACTAAATAACACTTAGTGTTCAACATCTGTTTGAATATTGAATGGAAAATGGAATTACAAGGATTGAAAACATTTATTTCCCGATACGAATTTAAAACAAGCAATAAAAGTTAGTAAAGCAGGATTTGAGGAATTACAAAGGATGTTAAGTCCAAAAAAAGGATAAATTCTCTCGGACAGGTTCACTTAGAGCACACCTCTAGCCTGTTCACTTTAATACAGATATGTGTAAATGCTATATCACTTCAGCTAAATTCAAAAGGAGATGGTCAGTGAATACGCTAATAATTAAGTTACTTTTACCAAGATACTTATTACTATTTCAGTAGTCAGTGAAATGTAACAGAGCTTCAAGTTAAGTGTTGATGAGCTGAGATCACCAACTGGATATCCAGTTAGAGAAACGTTGGAAGCTAGCCTGCTTTATCCTATTCTGAGACGCGTCATCAGTGCGCATCCAGGGTTTTCAGGTTATGAATCTTAAATACACTGCACTTTTGCGCTAATGTCTATTATGTTGGAACCCAGTCAGTTAGTTGTAGAAGGGTGATAATGGTTCCATAAGGACTACAATAATTGAACACCTTGTTACCGCTGGTCACTCTACCTCAACAAGCTCCTCCTTCAAAGTGATCCACTAAGTTTCCAAGGACAACATGCTTTCCCCTCCTTTGTATTGATGAAACTTTAGGCATCATATAGAGAAATAAGAGCTTTGTATATAAAAGAGAATTCTTCAACCACTTCGACTAGCAAAAGTAATGACCATGTTGTTATTATTAACACTTTCTAACCCTTCTATTCTTTGATACTCTTCATAACATTTTTTAGTTTCTATATGCATCCTGATTACAACTCATGAATTAAATTATTTGTCTCTATCACCTTTATTGACTTTCTCTTGTGTATATTGATTAGTATTAGCAACTTTGCCGATGACAATTCTTCTCTTTTGTGAAAAATAAACAGTTGTAAGTAAATACGATTGTCCAACTGAAGAAAATGAATTCGGCGAAAACAGTCTCTTTGCTGAACTTTTGATCTGACATTAGTAACTAGTGTGATGTGTATAGTTCTTTCTTTGGTGCAGACGGAATTCCATCAGTCAGCTTTGTAGTGTGGCCACTGTTCTAGGTAGCTCTCCATCACAGTGGACATTGATTTGATAACATTAGATGATTGGAGGCAATCAGCAGGAAGCGTTAGACCTGGGTTTCGCGCTAGTTTGCATTCGTCATCCAGGCATATCTGCAACCTTGAAGGAACACAAAATACAGTCCTACTGGAGGTCAATCGCAAGCTCGAATAGCTTATTGGTAGCATCTCTGACTGCAGCAATGGGTGACGCTGGTTCAAATTTCGGAAGTAACATGAGTTCCTTCAAGATTGCAGATACACCTTTGCTGACTGGTGAGCGCCAACTAGCACGAAACCTAGATCCAAGGCTTCCTGCCGATTGTCTCCAACCATCTAGTGTCATCAAATCTTCTCTGAACTGTTTGTTTTGTTTTGTTTTTCAGAAACCGAAACGTAAAACAAGTAAAACAAAAAGAAAACTTACGGATTCACCGGTGATATTTCCGCTAGTTTGATTATTATTTGTTAATTTACTAAAAAATTTCAAGCCTTTTGAAGTGTTCCTTGGTTTGCCTTTATCAACTACATCCCAAACTTCCACTTTGATTACACTTTGAGAATTTTTATGATTCCAGTGAATATTTGCTAACTGGAATAAGAATGATGTAAGCAAAATACGCATAAGTGTAATTTTACGAAAGGATGACACCAGGATTAAATTGTGAATCCGTAACCGTCATGATGACAATAATAATAATTAGTTAGTACGGAAATAAACAGAACATGGTATATTCAAACAAGGTCCCATTACGTATCTATAGTTTTACAGTACAAAAATTTAAAACAACTAATCCCTTTGGTAAATTCAGATAGCTTTATTAGGAGACGGCAGAAAAATAGGAGAGTAAACGCTCTAATGGCTGGGAGAACAGTTGAACTGCGGAGCCTAGATAAACGCAACTGATAGACTGCTAACTTCGTCTGTAGCAAATCACAAGAGTGATACCGAAAAAAGTTTTGAAGATTATCTATAAAAACCACCAATGGTGCGACGAATTTCCTTAATTCAACACTCCCCATCCCCGGCACTGTGTACAGAAACCCCTTGTTATTATCCCTAACCTTGGTAATCCTTATCTGAGTATATGTAGACAGAAAAACAATGTATTATCCTTTTATGAATGATATGATGATCAAGATCAGTCTGGAAATACACCACAGGTGGTTATATGTCGTTTTATAGATATCTTCGCTAACACCTATGTCATTGGCTAAATATATTTATATATATTATTGTTTCCCTTTGAAGATGTACTGGTGTGGATACTTTCCAATGTACCTTTCGTCTGTCGTCGTTGCATGTTCCCGTCCATATAGAGAGGGCTGGGAAAACAGGTAGCGGTTGTATATGATGATGGAGTAGCCTAGCAATACTCGTGGTCAGCACTTTTGTGTTCAGCTTCGGTGTCCCTACCCAAAATATAAAAGTACCGACATCATAACAACTATAATACCATAAGTATTATTAATTATTATCCTTCATATATTCTTAATTCGTTTATCAGTTTGTTTATTTTAATTGACCTCTGTTTATTTTTCACTCTTTATACAGATTGATTCGACAAATGCGTGTGTGATCAGATTGTTCAAAAGGTATTTGAGCAGGCAAATACATCACATTGTTCAGGTAAACCCTGTCTTCCTTTTTTTTATTACAGCTTGATTCCATACTGTATTTTTGGTACAAGTATGGAATTTTCAGCATGTGATATCGGTAGCCCAAATTTTGCAGGCCGACCATAGATATCAGGTGTGCGTCAGCAAAAGATCGAACCCCGGACCATGTGCATGGTCGGCGAGAGTCCTAACCACTGTGCCACCGACGCTATCCTAATTCCACGGAAAAACTGCTTGACGGCATTGAAATCTAGAATGCCTATCATCCAATTTAGAGATATTTAGCTAAGTGGAGTCAGAGTAAAAATTGTGCATTCACTTGAAGGTGAGCGCACAGCATTTGGTTCCACATTCAAAACACTAGACTATTTAGCCAAGAGATTCATCTGTTGTATGATGAGCATAATTCAATGCAATGTATTCACTCCTAAGATTTCACACTGATATTTCTTAAACTAAAATTATTAGCATCTTTCAACATATAGGTGTAATACCATGATATTGCATCTTTAAAAAAACTGTGTGTTGAGTTTAATTCACAGCAAGAGAGAAAATACACCAAGATATACAAGTACATATATATATCATGTGATAAAAAGTGGTGCACGTAAGTCAGTATTAAAAAAAGTGAATTGCACATTCTTCAGATATGTACCACAAGCAGAGTATATATATATATATATATATATATATCACTAGCTTTAAAGAATAATATAGAGACTACTTAGAATTCACCTCAGCTACCGACTCATTGTAGAATGGAACTACACAAATACACACCGAGATGTTGTACTTTTATTGTCACAACCGAATGCATCTCATGAAAAAAGCAGTACATTTATTCTAGTGCAACAGTATAACACAGTGATATTTGATAGCATAATTGCTGATTTGCCAAAATGATGTAATAGTAATGGCACAATGTAAAAACCTTACATGATAAACGTCAACTAGCACATGTCACCCTTGTTCTGATTATTTCACCTTCCTTTCATGCTCTTTAATACTGTTTCACAATGATTTCCATTTCTTCTCTTTGTAAATTCATCCTTCGCCTTGTTTTTCAAGATTCTTGCAGAGGATATCATCAATATACTAATTAGATATCGGTCGTCGTCAGTAACACACGCCATAATATTAGAATCATTGTCGAGCTTATTATACTTCAAAAATGTCTACTTCAAAGTTGAATTATTCAAGAATATGAAAGAAACACCAAGTGTAGGACATTCACATGAATAAAGTGCACAGACAGCACTACGAAAGATGAAGTCGCTTATGATACATATTTAGTTAGCGGCTGGTTTTAGGGGCTCAGCAGGTACGACACCAACGTATTAGTTCGAAGACCACTGGTTACCTTTAGCTATACAATAAATATATATATATATATATATGTTAAATGAAATATTAAATGAATTTGTAGAAAGTGAAGCAAAATATTTAAGATAAATGTTTGCCTACTTGTGAGTAGCTCCATCAACAATACTAAATTTTAGAAAAATACAGCAAAACAAACCTGAATTTCATTGGATGGAATATATTCCTCCTTAAATTGTTCACCTTTCAAACGGGAAAGCAATGTCGATTTGCCAACATTGCGATCACCACGTATCACAATTTTTACTGAAATCAAAACAAATACATTGACATGATTTTACTGTTAGTTGAAAGAACGAGGAAGTGAAAGGCATTTGAAATTAATTATTCATCACTTATGATTTCCCCGTTGAATTGATAAGCCTAATTTTTGGCATATGAATTCCTTAAATATATGCATAGTGGATGGTGTTTTGGTGTCTGAAGCGATAGGTACTGCGTTCGAAGCTACTTGGAAAACGACCACTTACTTGGGAGTAGGTACGTCAAGTCGATGGGTCTCAAATGGGGCGAAACACGCTCCATCGATCCTACTGTTAGACACAACAAAGCCAATTTAGCTACTACATGTATGATATCAGCCAGAGAACTACTGGAAAACTAAGGACTACCAGACAGCTATTTTGTTCTGATCTGGGACTCTTCAGTGGTACGCACTCACTAACTTTGGAACAAAGGACCGTTCAGCCATTGAGACCATATCCAGTGGCCCGTGTATTCCAACTTTTGCCAATTCATGAGACATAGCGCAACTGTCAGACAATGCCTTAGGCAAGTAACTGTTCTGTTACCTGACCAAGTGACTCTGCTGGCAATTGCGCTTTATACCGTGAAGTGGTAGAAGTTGGGAATTATGGGCCCTTAGTTCGGGGGCCAATGGTTGGACAGTTGGACAGTCTACGAATTCGTCTTTTAACTGGAAGATCCTGGATCGAACCCCGGTGGGTTAGCACTGCAGAAGACTCCCAAACCAGGATGAAAGAGCTGTCCAGCACTCCCTGGTTTATCAATGGTTCTGTAACATATATGTATATATAGTAATCATGTTTTAGTGGCCAGAAGCAGTATATCAAAAGGCTGAACACGTTTATCTCAGAAAAATGAGGTACACGGTGTAGTACAGAGTGTGGCAGATTATACAAACGAAGCAATATGAAAACACATACTACAAAATGGTTCAAACTCTAACCCTATTAAAGAACGACTATACTTCTTACAAGTTGTAAATATGCCTTGGTAATGAATGAGTGTGGATAAAATAAAAGCCCATAACCAGAGTTCTCTGTCGAATAAATCTGTTGGGTAAAGAAAATAATATTTATCCTGTTGACACTGTTACATGTAAGTGTTTTAAGGATTTGAGTTACGCGGCTGTTACAAATAAGGAAATGGGTGAAGGTTCCTGGAAAGTGATGATTCCTAGTAAGATTGGCCGGTAACAGAACTTGTTTATAATTTGTGATATATAAATAACAAACGTACAGCATTAAATTAAATTGAAGAATAATGTGGTTTTCATTGAACCATCATTAGGGAATGGACAATGTAGTTTTGTCTACCCTCTATTGCTGACTGAATTCTGCCGATCCACCCAGAAACCATTTAAACACGTGTTACGTAAACCGAGCCACCACCTTCCTCGTAGAACAGTGTTAGCTAGCATACGGTTAGGCTGGAAAGAAGTTAGAATAGGCCAAATCAAAATATGGTGTCAATCCCTGAAGTCTATGACCAGTAATCTGCGCCATGTAGGCAGGCGCAGACTGCATGAAGATTAATATTTGTTCTTGTTAAAAGTTTCTAAATGCTCACAATTTTGGATACTATGTTATTGGACTTAAATGTGCAGATAACTAGATTATAACAGTCATTTGCTATGCATGAGACAACCATATTACCTGGATGACAAGGTACCAAGGCGATTCAAGCAAGCGAACTACTAAGAAGGAGCTAGACTCATATAACTGATATGCTATAACTTGTAATTAGTATTCTAAAGGTCCTTTATATATTTCTTTGCATTCCAAGCTAAACATAAGGTTGAAGCTTTAAAGCTTTATCGGTATTAATGTTGTTTCACGCGGTCCAGATGAAAGCAATCTAATGTCATGCTTGATGCTTTCTCTAAACCATGTAGAAGCACTGACTCGATATTATTCCCGGAACTTGTTCCTCATATTGAATACAGTAGATTTCCGCACTCATTTCAAAGTGATGAACGACTCTATTGTTTTTTCCAATCCTGGCTCTGACATCTTCATTCATACCAATTACCAGCAGCTGAAACGATGCTACGCGTTCTCATAGATTTCTCCTGTTGACGGCGATTTGTGCTTGGGTATCTTCTCTATGTCTACCTGAAATCTTGTCTTCACTTCTTTTGTCAACCTGTTGGATTTCGCTTGTGTATCGTAATCTTTGTGAGGCACAGGACACAGGTCAGCCGTGAAATTCAAAACTAGGGTTTTTGTGTCAGTCCAATGCATAACCTCCTTCTTACTCTTCACATTTCGCTACATGACCCAGTCCCCCACAATATTAAGAACATCGGTAACGGTAGACAGCCCTATCTTACTGCTGTTTTCACTTCAACACCTCGCTGAGTCTCTTGTTGCGAAACACTTGCTATGTAGAATCCCTATATAGCTGTTAAATGAAAGTTTGTCGCACTATATATTTCTGAAGCAGCTGCCAAATTGTATCGTGACAGCTGCTCTATCTCTCTAGTCCAGATGTCTGGAGGAGAATAGATTATTGACCCTTCAGTTGAAAATTTGCGGAGTTCATTGCCATTCCATGCCCTCTAACAGATTCTTCATACTCCTGTAACATATATTCTCACTTCTTTTGCAATCTAAGCAGCTTTTCCAGCCGGAAACTTAATGCAAACACCCCATTTTCCTACGCTTACTTCTGCTTCTATCGAAAGAAGACACATCAACCGACTGGCTTCTCAAAGACTTTCACCAATCGGAATCATTTCACTTTCTCGATCCTAATGAAAAATAAGTCTATTTTCTATACTCTGTTTCTGCTTTGAATTTTCTATAGTGATTGAGTTAATTGCCTGGGGTGGAGTCACTAGCCTCGTATCCAATTCTTCCTGTTTTTCCGGGCTTAGGAGATAAACTATATATATATATATATATATATATATATATATATATATATAGAGAGAGAGAGAGAGAGAGAGAGAGAGAGAGAGGGGTCAGTAGCAACCCAATGGAGGTGACTGGCCCCAAATTTACCACTATTAGATGTCATTTATAAATTACATGAGATTTTCACAGTCCAGTGTTTCCTTTAATATGAGGAAGTATTTTATGCTGTGCTGCAAATAAATTAGTTACTCGTAAATGACTCAATTACTAAGTTGTCTTTTGAAGATTTATAAATAAGGCATACTCATCTATAAGTCTAATTCTACCCACATTAGTGCTATTTATTGTAAGTCAGTCATCAGGAGGGTTTGGAGCTATGTTCTTCAAACAATGCTTCTTATCAGAAGAATACACCTACTATCTTGAAGAAACTTAAGTTAGCTCAAAAATGTCGAAATGACCTAAATCGTTGAAGTAGAACTTTGCACTGAAATACATCAGTTTAAGGTGTCTTAATTTTAGACAACCATACATAAAAGTATGCAAATTAAATTTACTAGATCTTCAGTGGGCGAAAATGTATAGAAGAAAATATATTCAGATTAAGATTTTAAATTCGATAACAAACTGAAATCGGTGACAGAACGACTGAAAAACAGGGAGTACCGAACATTCTAATTTGGAAGTCTTCAGCAGTACGTGTCTATTACCCTGCCGGGAATTACTGGAAGCTTTCGGAATCGGGAAAATAATAAGAAGCGAATACATCTGCAGTATTCCGACCGATATTGTGCCACGTCATAAACGGTCTTCAGTCACTGATTCTTAGCATCGAGAGGACTTCAGGCAGATAGTTTATATGCCGCACACTCCTAGTGTGGCTCAAATCAACAATCAAAAACTTTACAGGTCAACAGCACTCATCATCAAAAATAAGATCCGGATTTTCAACTCCAATGTGAAGTCAGTCAGTGCTACTATACGGATCAGAGACTTGGTTAGTGAGTCATAAAGAGCACCTCAAACAAACTACAGACCTTCATCAACAGCTGTCTTCGCTCAATACTCAAGATCAGATGGCCAGAAAAAATCGGCAACAAGGATCTCTGGGAGCGAACCAACCAGGAACCGATTGTGCAACAAATAGGCAGGAAGAAATGGAAGTAGATTGGCCATACTCTGAGAAAACAAGCCATCAAGTGACACCGCACGCCAAGCCATTGCTCGAGTGAAACCCAAATGGGAAGCGGCGAGTTGGTCGTCGGTGCAAGGGTGACTTGGAGGAGGTCGTGTGAAGAGAAGATGAAAGCATGTGGGCAGACCTGGAGCCCGGTGAAAACTTTAGCAGAGAACCGAACGCAATGGAGAGGTGTAGCTGAGGCCCTATATTCCCCTAGGAACTAAAGGAGATAATAATGATTATGGGTTCGTCTGACCTTTACTGACTCTTATTTGACCTGGGCCTACTGTAACCAACAGTTTTAGTCGCAGCTCCAAGATTTCACTCTTTGTCATTGATGACTGAAGTCAGCAATTTTAAGACTGGATTACTTACGTTAACTCGCCACAGAATTGGTTGACATACACTGATTGCTCAACCATAAACTTTTTCTCAATGATTTGGACACTTTCGACTGAAAAGCCTGAGAAGTAAGGCCTTCTCTTTGCATGACGATTTCAACAGTTAGGTATTATAAAGCAAGCGTATCTTTGGTAGGTGTATATATATATATATATATATATATATATATATATATATTCGTGTACTGTTGAAAGTTACACCATTAAAACATTCTTAGCGCCAAACATCAACAAATTAAGTAAGAAAAAAAGAGCAAAGTAAACAAATAAACAGATAAACGTGATTTAGTCTGTATTCTTATAATTCTAAACATACAATTATAGTCAACTCCACGAGAAAACTTCTGTTGTAAAAATGCCCCAATAGGCTGTATATCTGAAGATGTATGCTTTTTCACAGTTGTAGCATCATTTTTTGTCCACCAGTTTTTAACCACAGACATTGTAATCGATTACGCTGGGAAGTATATCGAAAACATTTGTCTCCTGATATAGTGAAAAAGATATACAAGGTGAACGTCAGTGCTCCTTATGAAATTAGGATGAGATGTCCATCGTGTATTTGTTATCTCTTTGTGAAGAAGCTAAATTGGTAAAAAAGGAAAATATCGATGATGAAAGAATGCATATAAAAAACTGTCTTTATCATTGTATAAACTTAATGAAAAGCTTTTTCAGAGTGTGCTGCAGTTTTCACCACGGTTTGATGTCAGCTACAGAAACAACTGAAAACCGAGGAATACTGTACAGCTGCTTCGTCCTAGTTTAAGACTGTTTATCAGTGAGCACCCACGCACTCGCCAGGCATTGGACCTGGGATTTTCAGGACACAAGGCGAGCTCGTTTACCATTCAGCCAATGACCTCTGAATTCTAATTTTGTCGATTACTGACTTTAGCCCAACCACAACCAGCCAATGTCATCGGCGAGTATTTTTCTTCACACCCAACCTAGTGAACTTCATTGATCACGACTTTTCAATAAAACTCCGGGCGACTTCATCCTGTGGCCAGTCGCTAGTAAGCATCAGATTCATTTTTGAAGAGTTTCTTTGTATAGGCAACTTCGCCTTTTGTCGACGTCAACAAGAGTGTCATGATAGATTATTCGGTTCGGGTAAAACTCAGTTATCCAGGACAGATTACTAATGTGCCAGACTAAGAGCCACACTTATTGTGTGATGTCTAATCATCCTATCCAGACACCTAGGTGAAGTAGTTGGAGAGCGATTCAAACACTGAACGCGCTTTTGTGAAGTTGACTTCCTAACCTAAAGGGCCACATCTCAGCATCTCTAAAGGACAGTTCGTCGTCATCATCATCATAATAATAATGTAACACACTTTTACCCTCTCTTTATCTCGCCTTTTTTAGTTTCTCTACCATTCTTACTTACTTACTTTACTTTACTTCGGCTATCTCCTACGGGAAGATGAGCCGGCTTCATGAACTCATGAAGTTTCATGGGAATTGGGTACGAGTGATGTCCCCAGAATCGCTCGGCCTTTTGTTTGAGAGTGCAGCTCTAGCATTTACACAACCAAGTGTGACCTACAAGGCAGTAGGAGTGGAGTAGGGAGTCCACTATCCATTGGCGGCCGGTGACCGGAGTCCGGTTCATACGCCTTTTTGAATGGGGCCAGACATCCAGGGCATCCAATAAGCCCTTTGTCCATACGTCTGCCGGTGAGCTTCATACGCCAGTCGTTGGAGGTTTGGAATCAGGGTTTAACCATTTCCCCTAGACTCATCCAATGGACAGTCAACCCGGTGAAGAGCACCGGGCATCCGCTTTTGCCCTCTTACTTCGGTGAAAAACACCGCCACGTGAAGGCAGTGAGTAGGACTTCCTCAAGAGAGGCTATGTAAGACGCCCGGTAATATGGGAGCATTTCAAGAGGTGTGCGGAGGGGTGGCCAACCCGCAGCGCAACGCACCCACCCCCGACCATCCTGAGGCTTTGGAGACCTACCATTCTCCTCTTATTCCTTCCAGCCTTGATACACTGACATGATTTGTGGGAGAAAAATTAACATTCATGATTATAGTAAGTCTTTTCGGAGTTTCAGTTAAAAGAAAAGTATATGACGAGGGATCAATGAAACAATGCCGTTTTCTATGAAAATAGATTTCCACTCGTGATGATAATGATTATTAGTTAAAATGTTCTCCCTGAAATACCAAAATGAAACCTGGGTAAACTTTCTTTCCAATACATTAAGTGGAGGAAAGTAGAACAAATTTAACTATCTGGCGTCTATAGTAGCATTTGAGATAAACAGACATGCTACTAGTGAAGTGAATTCATTACCAAAATGGAATACTTGTACAGTGTAATCAAACGGTAGCCAACCTAAATTGAATAATTATTTCTCAAATAGTTTATAAATTTTAATGTAGTTTGATAACAGTTCAACTGCATAATCAACAGGGTTATCATTATCAGCAACCAAATGACATCTGGTGGTTACTAAGCAACCAGTGGTATCTTATAAACTCTCTGTAAACTGCTAGGTAACTGTAAAAGGTGATTAGGAGGATGCAGTGGTAGTTTTTAGGCGTATTTTGTTGCGTATACGATTATCCTACACTTTTAATAGATAGAGTTTTCGATTACGTTACATTCTCAAACTTATTGATACATTCACATGTTCCTTTCTAGATCATTCATGAGAGGCTTAACAGAATCAATCTCATTGAGAGCATGTCTTTTCAAACTTTTAGGATTGGGATAAATCCTCATTCGTCTTAACGACCTCCAATATAGTTTGGGATAACGTTCGGTTTCTACACATTCTTTGAGAAATTCCAAAGATGTTTTCGCTTCAGTGAGCCTTGCACTAAACTTCAGTTACTCATTGAGTCCCTTAAACGCAATAGGATCCCCACAAGATTTCAATATACTAAATATTCCCATAGTAAAATTTAGAACAACACATTTAAGCGAACAATATTGTTTTCAATTAGATCTCATCAGGCTTAACTCTGATATATATATATATATATATATATATATATATATATATATATAAGTTTACAAATAAAAATTCATATATAAACCAATCGTGGTGTTTTGTCTGTAGGATAATAAGATGGTGAATATAAATTGTGCAATTAGTCATAATAGTTGTAGTGATAATAATAACAATAGTAATAATAGTGATCTTATCAATAATAAGGATGAAAAAGTGAGGCAATCTGTGATAACACGAATGAAAAACAGCATGATTAAAGAAACAAATGTTCAGGTGAAAGTAGTCGATAAAGGCTAGTAAAAACAAATGAACCGATCAAGTAATGTTAGATTGTAAAGTAAGTAAATGAAACACGTTTATAATGAAGATGCGATAAGATTAAGGGATGATAAGAAAGGGGTTGAAAATATAAACAAGGGGTGGTGTAGAAGTCATTAGTTAGTTATGTCTTAATAGGCCAACATAGGAGGGACAATGTCTGTGTACGATCTTCTGTTGAATGCATAGTTTAGGTCCAATAGTTCGAATGTCTATCGCCTCAGCTGTGTGCAGTAGACGAATACGAAGTCTACTGGAAAGATTCGGTGGGATACGACGAATTACCTTGAAAGCTCTCGTTTTCTCCACTACATGACCACTATCAACTAAATGTGACAAAATGGAGTTACGGACTGTTTTTGTCTGTCCTTTGCCAAACCACCATGATAGAAGTTCAGTAACACGTTAGCTAAGCTGTCTAGTAGTACACCCAACATAACTGTCACCGCAGGTGCAGTTGAATTGATAAATGCACAGGGATGTGACAAAACTATCAAGCTTATCCTTCGTTTGCGTCCCAATCATTCGCCGGCTAGAGAATGACAAACATAGTTGTGCTGCGTAAAATGTTCTTCGTATACTCCTGGAAAGTCTGAAATAAAATCTCACTTGATAAGTCACCATTAAATTGTAACTTAATAAATAGAGGTTTCTTACGTGTTTACAAAGACATGCTCTTAATCTGATTGATTCTGTTAAAACTCCTTTGAATGATCTAGAAAGGACCATTCAGATATATCAATGAAACAAAGAGTGGATTTGTTCTGCAAAACGTAGATGGAAAGTTTTTCAAGTATTACTAACGTTAATTAATATGCACTCTTCACCTCACATTCCATTATTAGTATAAATCGATTTTTATTTAAGACCAAATTCATATACCCTTATTATTACACGTAGCAACTCTTCTCTTCACATAAAACTCTGCAGAATAATTGTCATTTAAGTTTCGCAAATTATGAAAATATCTTTAAAACCATTAAGTAAAATGTCAATAAAATGTTCAGAGAAGAAGTTGAAATCTTGTCTAAATTTTAGTTACCAATAAACGTCTCTCAACTATACCTAGATAATCGACATAACACATATGTAAAGTATTGGTCTAGACACTAGATACTAATTCGATTTCTTTTGGTCGTATCATCTACGTGTTATCATTAGTTTTAGCTCACTAAGTATGAACAGTCGTTAAGCCAGAAAACCCTCATTATCTTATACTGGTATATGAACTGCGAGTGGATTTGGTAAGCACCAATAAAATTATTATTCTGTTATTCTCCATTTGAATTTGATGTGTAAAACATATGTCATATTTTTTGGAGGGTTTCACGTGTAAACCAGCAAATTAATGCAAAAGACTGCAAAATTTGATTACTTTGTGGTGGTAAAAGATTTGCAGCCTTTACCCTTAACGGCCCTATTTAATAACCACAGAGTGGCACAGGGAACATTCCATTGTAAATAAGTGACGGGTTATCTTTTTGGGAGGGTAGAGTCGGAAATTCTGTTTGCCACCGAAACACCAGAGCCGATGTAACTTCACTATTTAGAGCCAAAAGAAGCATTGCTATGTATGAGTTCTTAAGTAACAGTTTATGTGTTAGAGGTGAGAAACTCATCACAAACAACTTAACATTAAGATTAGAAGTACTCATAAAATCTGTATCTTATCATCTTCATTCATTATAATTGTATTACTTGCAAACCCTAAGTCATTTACAGGATCTTTCATGAGATCTTTCATTCATCTCTGAGAAGCCTCATAAGAGATTGAGACTTCCACACTCCATATTCTATAGTTGGATAATACTGATAAAAGGGAACATCGGTGATGGACACCATTGGGCGCGGACTCCAACATGACTACAAGTGTATAACGTGTACTTCTTATGTTTTCGTTTTAGCGAAAGATCCTGTCACAAGCCCATTCCATTGACCGAGTCAAATTCCGCATACAGGTCAAGAAGCAAAGTTATAGCCTCTCTTCTGAGGTTAGATCCATGTTCCAGGACGTGACAGATAATGAGTATTTAGCTAATTCATTTGCGATTGGATGTGAAACCCGCTTGGTAGGTTACTCACCATCTGCAATTAGACAAAATAATTTCCGGGCTGATCTCTCAGTAATTACCACAGGAAGATTTCCCTTCCCTAGAACATGGACAGATGGTCAGAGTGAATAAATATCCTATACTATCAAGTGAGACTAAGACCTGGTCTGGAAAATGACCAATAAAAGTTCTCCGTGTTAATTAAGATTAGCCATTAGATTCCTGTATAATTGACCAGTTTTATCGAGTACACCAATCAGCTGCCCTGAAGATAATTTGCATATACTAAGCGGATGATGATATATGGTCACCCAGGGTAAGAGTAAACGTTCCAGATCTCTTTATGCATACACTTACTAGTTTCTTCCGTTTGCGTTTAAATGTTTTTCCGCATTCATGCTTAGTGAAATTTCTGACCAGAATATAAATCCAATGCGGTACAGTATGTTTTACATCACTATTTACAGCTGACTGAGAACTGATTAGCCCATCGTTCTTATTTACTTTTGCCAGTAGCTCATTTACTTCCAAATTTTAAACGCTTGAACCTTATTGAATGGATGTGGAATCAGTAGAGGACTTAACATAGACATACACCAGTCTGTTAATCTATTTAAAAGGCGCACGAAAGAAGGAATGTAATGACATTGTGACAAAAAAAGTTGTGCGGTAACTAGATAGTATTTAAGGGTCAACTGAACTTTTCCTTGAAGTGATTTACATATCACCCCAGCCATCCTTCTGTTTTTGAGTGATTAAGTTTCCCTTTCCAGTTATGGCTTTATTTATCATCTGTTCGTAACGTTAGTTCCTCTAGTCACTTCAGAGATTTGTTTGATGCTGCTTTTTTCATTCCCTTAGACTTACAGTCAGTTAATACCCACGACCATCAAAACTGTACCTTCCTTTACTTTTGAGTTTCATCTGTTCTTCACTAGGCTTAATGTCTCACGGCATACAGCAGTAGTTCTAGAGAAGCTATGATAAACTTAGACACATCAGGTTGCAGAACAACTTGGTTAGGGACAAGAGAAAAACTATTGATAAGCTGTCGTTCTTCTTAATACTATGAAAGAATCCATGTGAATAACAGGCACCTAAGACATAGGAACTTCACTTTCCTCACACTTATACTCACTAAATGAAATATCGTTATGTTTTTGTGCCTTCTTATAAGTGTTTTTGCAGTAAGACTAAACTGAAGTACTTTTGTGAAGAACTTTTGCAAATCCTTGTCAATCTACAATCGTGTAGAATTAAGAAGACAAGTTAGAAAAGCAACCACTTTTAATGATCGAGAAGTTAGGTTACGGCACATTATCTAAATCACTAGACTTTTAGCCAATGGATTTCTGGTTCGAACTATTAACTTACTTCGGCTTGGGTGACTGCGCAGTGTCACTAGTTTAGACACAATAAATGTCACACATGGCCTGGTGAACAAGAAGCCCGTTTCGAGAAACTGAGTTACTTTAACCAATGGTCGAGAACAATTTTGATCCTATAGCGGTAGTGAATTATTTTCTAGAGTTGGCTACCGATATGTGACATTTAATTACAGTTAAACGCAGGTCGTCACATCCAGTTGCCAGGCTAAAGTAGGAGGGGTTGGATTCGATGTCGTTACCGTTTGGATGGAAGTTGAGTGCCCAAGCCAGTGAATCAGGCTAGGCCAGTTATTTAACAGAGAAGTGAAATAATCTACGCGTAATGTGAATAAAATGCACCACAAACAGTTAAGCAAAAACTCGTCAGTCACAGATTCTTGTGGAAGTGGTACTATAATTTCAAAGACTTGGGGGAGTGATATTCAAAAACACGCGATTTTTGCTATTAATATATTCTATGAGCGAAAAGTTACAAATTTCTCCGTTTAAAATATACCAACTGTTCGGCTCATAAAAGATGTATGCACCGTGATAACTACAACATTAACTGGTGCATTTTTACAAGTTTAGTTTTCTTGGCAAGAGATACAACTGAAATCACATTCGAAAAAATTACAGATCATTCAAGGATTAAGATAGAGAAGTTATTTTCAAGGACTAACACTAACTGGATTAGTAAAAGCAACAATTATCAGCTTAATTAATTTTACACAATTACATGGAATATATGTTTTACATCTACTCATTAACTGCTATAAAATCAGATGAAGCTATGTTTCTCAGATTTAAAAAAATGTACCGGAATTTATTCACAGTTCTGTTACCCCCAAAAAGGAACGAAAACACTCACATAAGAAAGAAACGCACTGTTTTGAATTGACGCTCGATTACCAAGGATCCAATATCGTTTTTACGAGCTAGCATAAACCAATTTGATTTCTTTGTGCTCGCTTCTTGATTGTAGGGTATAGGTTCCTGATCTTTGGTAAACTTCTGTGTAGCTCATCCCGCCACTCGACTGTCATAGCTGTGGTTGACTCCAAAGGGAGTATTGCTGGGATTAATTATATGTGGTTTGTAGTGTGAGGTGTGTTAAGACTGTTACTACCGTGAATGGAGTTGATCCTTTTGCCAGTTAGTCCTCCGGTATCGTCGACAAGAGAAAAGAGATAGTAATAATAATAATGCTAATAATAGATATAATTAGTGAAGTTATTCAGACTAGGAGACAGAAAAGGAAATAGGAAAGCGTAACAACAGTCAGCTGATTAAGTTTGAAGAATAATATATATATCGGTAATAATAATATTATTAAGTTGTCAGGAGAGTAAGACGGGAGAGAATGTAAAGAAGTAAAACGACGAGTGTAATTGTCTACCCCTGAATGGTGTATGCGATTTTAAGCGGATAGGCCATTTGGACGCAGTCCTTGTGTCGCTGCATGACTGTCCAGCCTTCACTTAAAGGCGTCCACAGACGGTGCCATAGCTACATCTGCTGTTGAGTTATTCCAGGAACGGCAAACCCGCAGTGAAAAGAAGTGGGGGCGCACCGGGGTCCTTGCCCTCTGGTGAGCTATCCAGGATCAGGAATCCAATATTTCCCTATCTTATGACTATGTCTAATTTGGGCTGAAATTATCCGTAACATAACCCATAGTGCACTGCACCAATCAGTGCCAATATATATGAAATCCACTTGGAGATAACCCTTCAAATTACCATAATTCCTGTTCAACCACAGATAGAGTGAAAAGCACATCTAAATAATAATAATAATATATTCCCATTTTTGTACATGAGGGACGCCAGTTTACAAGCATCATCAATTCGATAAATTACACATACAATTAGTAAGCATATTTAGTAAAGATAATATAATAAGGTACATATTTTTTCCTAGCTATGTAGGATTCACCAGTTGTATAGGCATGCATATTGTTTAAATTACATGATTTACGGTTGCTGTCATTTTGTCTTTAGTTTGTGGCTGAAATCTGATAACTAGTGATTCAATAGACCACATCAGGAGATATAGGGATATTGACTTCACATTAACAAATAAACCCCAAGTATTCGTTGGATGGATTACAGTTAACTTAGGCTCCCACAGACGATCCTGATAGCATTTACAGGTGATTTCCAAGTACTGCGAGAATTATTTTTGTCAAAAAGACTGCTCTTCACACGAAAATAGGCTGTATTGATATTATGAGACATGAAGTCTTCATCCAATGATACTATGCCAAAAGGTGCAGCTTCTACATGAAGCAAACGATTTGTGTAAATGGCATTACCCTCCAACTATCCTATCTTCCTCATTACACCGATATTTTGATACAATCCGCCACTGAAACACTAATCGTTGCAACCAATATGCTATGAGTGTGTCGCAGTCAGATCACATTACGCGGACACCAACATAACTAACCAGAAAATGCGAATTCCTATCAACCCAGAAAACATATAATACAGTTTTATTAAAAAGTATTGACAAAAAAATTTCCAAGCGAAATTTTAACAGAACGTGATAAATAAGTCCAGCCCTAATCTGGAATTCCTGCCTCATTTCATAAATTTCGATTCCGTGTCTAACTGAAACTTTCCGTGTTCAATATCCAACATCCAATATCGGTTTTACGATCTAGTATAAACCAATTTGATTTCTTTGTGCTTGCTTCCTGATTGTGAGGTAAAGATTCCTGATATTCGGTAAACTTATGCGTACCGCCACTAGACTGCCGTAGCTTCGGTTGGCTCCGAAAAGAGTAGTGTTGGGACTAATTTTATGTTGTCTGTATTATGCGGTGTGTTAAGACTGTTACTACTGTGAATGAAATTGATCCTTTTGCCAATTAGTCCTCCGGTATCGTCGTCAAAACAAAAAGAAACAAAGTGCAATTAGTGTAGGTTGTTCATACCAAAAGACAGGAAAAGAAACAAAGGAAACGTAAAAACAGACACCTAGTTGAATTGAAAGTTGAAATATCTATAAATATATAAATATAAATTGCAGGCCTTACACCAGTACGCCTGCAACCCTTCACAGGTTGACGATTGTAAGTTGTGGAATGTCCAGACACAAACAAGATTAACCAACAATTACATCAATTGGAACTCACACAACTATTTAACACAAACATATGTACAATCAACACATCAAATGTTGTGGATTCTGACACGACAAACTACCCTTGAAGAACCGTAGGACTTACAGCAGTACGCCTACATTCCTTCTCAGGTTGATGATCCAAGTGGAAGTCGTCCGGACACAAACAGAATTACCAACAGCTAGATGACAGATGATATCAATTCAGTATATACAATATGAACATATGTACAAGATCATACACCAAGCACATTGGACTGCTCATTGATGCGCTACCCTTTGAAGAACTGTAGGACTTACACCAGTACGCCTACAACCCTTCTCAGGTTGACGCCCTAGGTTGGAAAATCGTCGCAGAGTTCATTTGCTAACTTCCTTCTATCAGCTATATCCTCAAATCTGAACGGCAACACGCCCATGTCATTGTATCGTAGAATATAGATGACCAACAAACACACGACATATCTCATCAACCAAGTATAGAAACAGAGTAATTTACACCAAAGATAATAACATTCAAATAGTAACTTGAAACTAGAAATGCCTTTATTCGTGCAAGTCAATTTAACAATAACTCTCTCCTTTACACTTGGCTTATCCACACTAAACTGACCATTGATATTCGTCCTTTCAAACGAACTGATACTACCATAGTCATTGCACAAGATACTTGAGTTGATGGGTGTCTGTTTCATTGTGGATGACAGCACCAACGATGACTGAGTGACACAAGGTGATGAACTTAGTGGTGGATCAGAAGCTGTTCTTGTTCGGCTCTCAGATAGTTGTCCAACTGCAAGATTACCACCACTGCTGTCTTTCACTACTAGTTCGGGTTTAGCACTATCATCTGATGATAGGTGGGCTACACGCTGATCAATTACACTGACTGTCTCACAAGTATGCACACCTTCTGGAACTGCATCTGCGTTCAATTCTACTTCACGTTGTAGTTGTACAGAACCTTTATTTAACTTAGCAGTAGTAGGCATATCCCTCATCTCATAATGATCAACCAAAGACAAATCTGCACTATCATGATCATTACCACAAATATTCAATTTACCGTCAAGTTCATCATTTTCAAACTCTTTAATAACAGAAGTAGACAATTTTGGTTCCTCCTCGCAAATCATAAAGGTTTTATAACTTCACTCTGACTAGTAATACCTTGTAAACTTGTAGGGTCAGAACTGCACTCTGAAGCAGTAACTCTATTCTGTGACACTCTATTCAACAACGGCTTACCAGTTGCAACTACAGACTTCTTCAAACCGTTATCGTCACACAATTCGGAGTCAGGCCTGGAGTTTACATTTAGCTTATCACTGAACTTGCTCACTGGTTCACAGTTCACTTCTGTATGCACCTCTTGCAAACGTGTACAACACAACCGTGTTTGTCTTGCATCTTGTAACTTATCTGTTGAGGATGTACTACGAAACCTGTTACACTCACTAGGTCTATATGCATTACTAGACATCATGGAGCCTTCTCGATATCCACCTCTCTGAGGCTTATTCGTCATCAATGAGTGCGTTTTACCCTCAGACTGCTCTATTCTATGGGTGAGATCTAACAGACTGGAAAACTTGCTCATAGATTGATTGACACTAGTATTTACCAGTTTCAGGATATCATCAAACTTTGGCTCGATACCCTCATCCTCCATACGGGAGCTCATCTTCACCCACTTCCTTTGCAGTCGAGTAGGTAGACGTCTTGCTATTACTTCTAGTATAAAACTCGAGTTGAGGTCACTCATTCGATTCATCGAAATCATTCCATTCTTGTAAATTAGCAAATTATCTAAAAACTCAGTGAGTGCCTGGGAGTCATCCTGTAATTGACCACCATTACCCTTAACAGCCTCGAATAATTTCCCTGCAATCATCGAGGGTCTTCCAAACCTTTGACGTAATATGCTCATAGCCTCATCGTAGCCCTCTTTTGGCTTCATAAACTTACAACACTGTATAGCTCTTGCAGCATCTCCAGTGCAATATCTCATCAAATACATTAACTTCAATTCATCATTTAATAGAAAACTACTCAACATGATCTCAAACTCCTTTACAAATTGTAAATAATCAGCCGGGTTTCCATCAAAACACCGTGGTTCAAATTTAGGGAGTTTGATGTTCCTATTATCCCTGAACGGCGAAACAGTAACATCAACCATGTCATGCTTAACATCAGACACATCGTTACAATTAACAGACAAGTCACCATGACTTACTTTCCTGTTTGCATCCAAGACACTCTGTCCCTTCTTTGACCCAGGCATTGTTGAACTTGACCCAATTCCAAAAAGTTCCAGATATTGCTTGTTCAAAGAGGACTTGACCGGCACCAGGAAAGATGAACGGCGACTATCCAAACTTTCACCAACTGTTTGAATCCGCCAGATCTGTTTCTATCGTCAGAAACTGTCAATCACGTCTCATAAACCGTTAATGCCCAGCTCTCGCTACGCTCGGGCCCACGCTGTTCTTCGAAGATTTCTCAGAAACGCTTAGTTATAACGGACGCAAAAACCAAAACACTGATCTGCCGCTTTAGATTTGTTTATTGTTACACCAACATATAAAAGGAATAAGCGAACTAAGGTTTCTGACGATGTTTAACTCTTCTTTCTGAACAGCGACCGATGAGACGATGACTGTCGTATTGATGCCTCCGCGAAAATTGGGGAAGTTGATTTTGAGCAAACAACCAAGAATTGATCGTTCAATCTTCAACTCCATTGACACGGACAAATGTGAAGACAAAAATGGTCTGTTTGGTGCTAGCCAACCTAACAGTTATAAAGAGTTATGCAATGACTTAGTTTCTGAGCTAAGGGATATATTAAGTCAAGGCAGACTGAATAGGCATTTCAACGAATGTTTTAGAGCCGTCATCTGTGATACATCGGCTTGAGCGGACGTGAAATCTGTAGTAGGCCGTAATACCAGTTCAGGTTGTGACAAATGCACGGTTAACGGAGAGAAACTTGACAGCAGAATGACATCCGAAAAGGGAATTTTTCCAATTCGGACTGATGACAACTTCCGTCAGAGGATGCAGTCAAGTCACTACCGCGGACAGTGTGTTTCTGAGGATTTAAACATTGATATGGCTAAGAGCTTCCCTATTGACCCAGTGCACCTAGTCCATTTTGAGGTTAGTGAGGAAGCTTATAAGTCTCTGGCAAGACAGTCAAAAAAGGAGATGCACACAGACCATATAATTCGAAGAATGCTGAAGACTGTCAGTAGGGTGAGTGGTGTCCCAGAGGACCACATACTTAACGTCGTTGTCGATAGGCACTTGACTTCGCGCAATAAATTTGCTAAAGGGATTTTGTCTGACTTGGAGTATCCACTTTACCCTCAGCTTTCACCTTGCATCTCCTCAAGTAGAACAGGAAGTAACTTCAGAAAACTGTAGGCTCGCATGTCTAAGTATAAAAATTCTGTGGTACCATACTTGGCACGTATGTTATGTGATGAAAATAATGTCGCGTAAGAATTAAGTAACCTTCTATCATCTAGTAAATAAACAATTTCCTCCATCCATCCTTATATACCTTCAAGTTTTGCTTTTATTATTTCTATTATATTTATGGTCCTGTTGCTTCTTTGTTTGTTTTACTTTCGCAATTGCGAACACCAACTCATCTCTATGACTGCTGTAGTCTTTGTTTTTCCCCTCATCATATAATGTAAAGATAACATTATATTCAATACTTTTAAACATGCTAGGATTTCTATACCTCATCGACAATACTGTGTGAAACAAGCCCACGGTAATTTTCACTTGTATCATTATTATTACCTTAGCTGTTATCATTATTATTTCCATATTACATAGCAGACTGTTCCGACTGACCCTCAAGTCAGAGAGAAAAACCAAACTGTAAATTCATCATACATCAAATTATGTGTAATTTATATAATAACTTTTCCATGCCTGTACAATTGGTATGTTCCTACATAAACAGGAAGAAATATATATTATTATATGCTGCATGTTTTTGATATAACCCCTGTTGTAAATGTGGCAGATTTACTGTGTGATTAATTTTATTTCTAATTTGAGGAAATTAGACGCAATATTGTGATTAATGCTGAAAATTCCATTCTGTATCACAAGCACTGTTTTTGGAATAAAGTAAATCATTATTATTAAAACCATAGACGGGAAGATATTAGTTTGTGGTAGAATGACACCCAGAGACTTCCCCAGAAAATGTAGGGTGCTCAACGAAGTAAGTAGATGGAAGGCCACTGAATGTCGCATCTTCTTGCTTTGTCTAGAACCTATCTCACTTATGAATACTATGCCACCCGGAATATATTGCTCTTCCAAAGGCTTAGTTTAGCAGTTTACCTTATATCTCACATGAAGTCTTATCGGAAATTCTTGGAAGGCTGCAGGTATGAGCTAGTAAACGTCCTTAAGGAGTTTGAAGTTATTTTTAGCAGGGAGCACTTAGTTCACAATATTCATTGTCTGCAACACTTAGCGGCAGATATAAAAAAAAATGGGACCTTAAGAATCGTTTTCGGTGTTCCATTTGAGTCTTATACGCAGACTATTAGGCGATCTGTACATTCCCGAAATGCAGTTGCTAAGTAGGCGGCACAAAGCTTTGCAGAAAAGCTATTTTACGACTGCATATCAAGAGCACTAGACAATAACGTTTTAAAATCAACGTAAAGCAGATGTAGATAGGCAAAAAATTCACATCAGGCGTGCAGTTATCACTTCCTCTTCACCAGATAACGTCGTCATAGCCTTCAACAAACCTGGTCTCATAGCACAGATGCACAAGGAAAGACTGACATTCAGACCTTATGAAGACGCTTGTGATTTATTCAACCAGCCATGTGACTCATCCTACATTGGAAAATAGAAATGCTTCAGAATGAGCCCCAAGATTCTAGGAATTAAGCCGTCGGGCATTATGTGTAAGTGCTTCTGTACTTGTACAGACAAGTATTAAGTAGCAGTGCCGTTGCCTCATATTTTTCCAGAAACTACTAAGACTGGTTGCGTCAACCGCTGGCATTCCTGTATTCAATGACAAGCGGACTAGTGAAACTGTAAATTTTGTTTATATCATATTTACTTATTTCTTACAGAACAAAGAGAAGACTTAACAAAACCTGTTGCGAAAGAATTCTTCGTAGCTGCAAAAAAATGGATGGTATCGGATGAACTCTGCGTGTATCACAGAAGTGTAACAGAGGCTGAAGTTCAAGCATGTATGGACCCTAGACCAGATTGGCTCTTTACCTCCTGTCGGAGGTCAGCTGAGAAAGGTAACTATTTCGGTATTAATTACATTCCCGTAATAGGACTCTTTTCTAGAAGCCAAGAATACTTTGTCGGCTGTACTACGAATGCTCAGTAGCATGGCCAGGTTAGATAATCTCGAGGAAACCTTGAGTCTAACCAATACCAAACGTCAACAGTAGATTCTTCTTATTGTTTAATGACAGAATACAGAGCGGAGACAAAGAACTACGCCTCGTACGTTTATGATTCCGCTGAAATAGAAGCAGTGGAAGCACAGAAGGTGTGGGTCATCGAAATACCCTAACACCAATTTCATGGAAACTGTGATGTCACCGACAGCCAGGTAGCGCACTCATTTAATATTCTTATTCATTTGGCACTTTTAGTTAACGGATGCCAGTGCCGACGTCGTCATTATTCACACAGCCAATTCAGCAGACTAGGTATGTTATTTTTAATTACTCGTTACTTTGCAGTAACGCGGATTCCAGTATTCAACTGGTTACCGAGTTACAGCCCCTAAAACGAGAAATCAAGTCTCTTAAAGGAGAAGTGCAGTCCCCTAGTAAACTGATGAGGCAGCTGGTTTCAATTAAAATATCGAGCAACGTGTCCATCTTGGGAACCAGTAAATCGTCCAACGACCATAGTCAACTGAAATTCGTTTTGGCGACTGAAGAAGAGTTTAACCAGCTTGGAGCGTCACTGAAAACCCCAAAATTCAGAGATTCATTCGTAAGTTTACAATTAACCTACGATTATGTTCAGATGACGAAACTGGATGGCAATTT